ACATAACTAAAAGAAAGAATAGCCTGTAAGGAATCAACAGTAAGCTAGAAGAAGTGGAGGACTGAATCAGAGAATTAAAAGACAAGATAGGAAAAAACATCCATTCACAGCAACTGAAAAAAAAAAAAAAAAAAGCAGGAGAATTTAAGGGAGCTTTGGGACAATGAAATCTAACAACATTCACCTCAAAGGAGTGCCCCAAGGAGAAGAATCTGAGTAAGGATAGATAGAGAATCTGTTTGAAGAAGTAATGACAGAAGACTTCCCTGACTTGGTGAAGAAAGTCACACAGGGCCAAGGAACACAGAAAGTATCAATAAAGATGAATCCAAAAAGACCCACAACAAGACACATCATAAATGGCAAATGTTAAAGACAAAGAATCTTAAAAGCTGCAAGATGAGAGACAGAAAATTATCTATAAGGAAATTACCATTAGACTGTCAGCTGATTTCTCAATAGAAACACTTTAGGCTAGAAGGGAATCATGGCAGGAAGTATACAAAATAATGAAAAGCAAGTGACTATATCCAAGACGAATTCATGCACCAGTGGGGTCCCTTGGCCTGGCATGCGGGATCCGGCAGAAATCGGCTCTCCCAAGGTGTCCCGGATTATGAGAGGGTGCAGGCCAGGCTGAGGGACCCCACTGGTGCACGAAAGGGGCCAGGGAGGGACACAGGAGGGCTCCAGGGTGTGTCCAGCTCACCTCGCTCAGTCCCCAATCGGCCAGACCCCAGGAACAAGGTAACCTACCAGTTAAAGGGTCTTCCCCCTTGTGGTCAGTGCACGTCATAGCAAGCGGTTGAGCAGCCTTTGCATATCATTAGCATATTATGCTTTGATTGAACAGACAACTGGATGACCAGACACTTAGCATATCAGGCTTTTATTATATAGGGTAGCTAAGATCTGGAAACGGCCCATTAGTAGCTGAGTGGATAAAGAAGTTGTGATACATTTACACAATGAAATACTATGCAGTTGTAAAAAAAGAACCTCTTACCCTTTGAGACAACAGAGGGACCTGGAGAGTATTATGCTAAGTGAAATAAGCCAGTCAGAGAAAGACAAATATCACATGATCTCACTTACTTGTAGACTCTAATGAACAACATAAAGTAACAAATAAAATAGATCCAGAAACATGGAAGCATGCAATAGACTGAATTAAATGCATATATACATAACCCATGGACACAGACAGTAGTACAGTAAAGGCCTGGTGAGGGTGCTCAAGTAGAAAGGTAAGGGGTTAATGAGGGAAAGAGGGGAACACTATTAATACTTTCAATAATAAAGATATACACACAGATACAGAAAAACCCAGGAAACAGAATTTTTAATTTATTTGCTTATACTCTTAGTTTTCAACCTTAAATTTTATTTATTGAGAGAAGCATTGCAATATGGCAACAATGTTATTTTAATTTGTAAGGGGTGATATAAAATTGACCAAATATTTGGTAGCTTAGAAAACAAAAATAATTGGATAAAATATCAAAAAGATATATGAAAAAACATTTTTTGGGGAGATGGTGTAAAGAAAAACAAACAAAAGCCTTTTAAATGAAGTAAGAGCCATATTTAGTGTGCATTCTGAACAAGAGGAGCTAGCAAAAGAGTCAAAATGCATACTAGGGAAAAAAGTATCCTAAAGACATAAATCACATAGATGGCCAAAAATGACGCTCACTGGCTAGTGTCCATATTATGTACAGACCAGCTCTTCCTTCTTAGTCATTCATCTCACTATCCATAGAGGTTATAGAAGTCTACATACCTTTCTAGCTCAGGGCTCTTTATATTTCTAGAGGCCTGGTGCACAAATTTGTGCATGGGTGGGGTTCCCTCGGCCTGGCTGGTGATCAGGGCTGATGGGGGGGGGGGGGGTGTGGGCAGCTGGCTGGGGGTAGAGACCGCAGGAGGTTGCACCTCCCCAAACTGGGGCCAATGGGGGGTGGGGGGGACTGGAGGCTGGGGAGAGGGATTGTGGGAGGTTAGCCAGCTGGGGGGAGGTACTGAGGGAGGTTGGCCAGCTGTGGGAGGTTGGCTATGGGAGCGCACTGATCACTGGGGGGTAGCTCCTGCATTAAGCATCTTCCACTTGGTGGTCAGAGTGCATCATAGCAACTGGTCAACCAGTCGTTCGGTCGCTTAGGCTTTTATGTATATAGAATATGTAGATACTAGAGGCCCGGTGCACAAAAATTTGTGCACTTGAGGGGGGGGGTCCCTCAGCCTGGCCTGTGCCCTCTCGCAGTCTGGGACCCCTCAGGGGATGACCACCTGTTGGCTTAGGCCTGCTCCCTGGGGGATTGGGCCTAAGATGGCAATCAGAAATCCCTCTGGCAACCCGGCAGCCCTCAGGGGATGTCCACTTGCCAGTGGGGAACAGGCCTAAACTGTAGTCAGACATCCTTAGCACTGCTGAGGAGGCAGGAGAGGCTCCCACCACCACTGCTGTACTGGCAGCCATCAGCCTGGCTTGTGGCTGAGCAGAGCTCCTCCCATGTGAGAGCGACCTGAACACCAGAGGGCAGCTCCTGCATTGAGAGTCTGCCCCCTGGTGGTCAGTGTGTGTCATAGTGACCAGTCATTCCCAGTCTTTCTGCTGTTAGGGTCAGTTTTCATATTACCCTTTTACTATATAGGATAGAGGCCTGGTGCATGGGTGGGGGCTGGCTGGTTTGCCCTGAAGGGTGTCCTGGATCAGGGTAAGGGTCCCGCTTGGGTGCCTGGCCAGCCTGGATGAGGGGATGACGGCTGTTTGCAGCTGGTCACACCCCCTTCAGGGTGGGGGTCCCGCCTGAGTGCCTGGCCAGCCTGGATGAGGGGATGATGGCTGTTTGCAGCTGGTCACACCCCCTTCAGGGTGGGGGTCCTCACTGGGGTGCCTGGCCAGCCTGGATGAGGGGATGATGCCTGTCTGCAGCTGGTCACATCCCCTTCAGGGTGGGGGTTCCCACTGGGGTACCTGGCCAGTCTGGGTGAGGGGCTGAGGGCCATTTTCAGGCTGGCAGGTGACTGAAGCTCCCAACCTCTCCTTTTTTTCTTTTGTATTCTGGGATTTATTTACCTTCTATGGCTGTCACTGGAACTGAGAGCCAGCTTTAGCTCTGAGGCTCGGCTCCAGCTCTGAGACCTCGGCTGCTGAAAGCAGGTATCTGGGTTTGTTTGGGTTCTATAACTGTAGCACTGTTGCGGTCCTGCTGCTCCAGCTCTGCCGGCTGAAAGCAGGTTTCTGGGGATTGTTTAACTTCTATAATTGCAACATAATTGCTTAGAGTGCAAGCTCAGAGGCCGGCAGCGGCAGGCGGGGAACCTTGGCTTCCTCTATCACTGGAGCAAGCAAGCCTTCTGTTCGCTTCAGCTGCCTGGCTGCCGGCCGCCATCTTGGTTGGCAGTTAATTTGCATATCTTGCTGATTAGCCAATGGGAAGGGTAGCGAAGTTACGGCTAATTACCATGTTTCTCTATTATTAGATAGGATGAGAAAGGCTACTGCTCCAGGGAAAAAGCAGTATATAGAAAAAAAAGTCAGACGTATAGTTTCATGATGTATGTCTGCACAGTGAAAAGAGATGAGGGGCAGGAAACTAACTCATTAACCCTTAACTCAGTGCTCTGAGTTTTATCCTTTTCAATCTATAGCAGCAGATATCAGTAGCCAAGAGAGCCAAGAAGGAGGAAGGGCAGAGAGAAATGGATAAGGACAAAGAAATAAATTAATAAAATAGGGATTAAATTAATAGAAACTACAGAGAAACCACCTGGTAAGTTTTGAAAATATCTTGGAGCTTGAAATTCAAATCTACTAAGATATTTCAATAATTTTCAAAAAGTTTTCTAGTTTTGGGTCAAATAAAGGCAATGAACATTACTAAGGAGAGGACATTATTAGAATATGTCTTATTAGAATAGTTTTATTTGTAACATTTCCAAATTAGTAAAGAAATCTGGTACAAGACAAGATCTAAAAATCAGGAAACAGAATTCATACACAGTAAGCCAACAAAAAGTGACCACAATGGACCCAAGATACTGTTTTAAAATGGGATGATTCTTACAAGTTTTCCTTAGGGAATAGGGATGTAAGTTTCACTTCAAGGAAATAACTCACAACTAACTACAGAATGACAGATAAAATATTTTCACATCACCTGTTCTCTCTGCTTTCCCATCTTTTCTTTTTGCTTCTCTGTTCATATCTCTTACCATAGTCCACATGATACTACAGAACCATATGCAGTCTGTCTCCTTAAAAAAAGATCATCGCTTGCAATTAAGAATGTTAAGAGAAGCTAAACATATAGGGAAATAGAATGATATATGAAAAGTCTTTTCTTTACATTTTTAAATAGTTTATGAATAAGCAGTTTTAGACTCTCCAATCCGAGTGAGATGCTATCATTTATTCTGAAAAGTCTGATAGGCCTTTATTAACATAGCTGTTACAACAACCTTTCAATTAGTTCACTGCATGTCACTCTGAAATTAACTCATAAAGAAAATCAGCTGAGCTTCCCTCCAATTATAAAATTCTAAGGATCTGGATAAAATCATAAAACAAGTCAGTTTTTCATTGATAGTATGTGAACAATCACACCTGTTTAGGTTATAAACATTTAACTACACACACAACCTCTTCAATGTTTACCCAGAATTTATCATGAAAAATTACTTTATTAAAATTTCTGTGCTGATAAAAATCATAGAACCTCCTCTTAATAATACAAAGCTATTTTCTAAAAAAGTTATTTTCACTTTGGCTTAACTGGGCTGAAAAGGGGGAAAAGCCTAAAATAATACCCTGAAATATCACAATATATAAAGACAGATATGATTCACATCTGTGGTCAGAAATTTATAAGAAAAGAAAGTAATTTGATTTTAGTTTGCCTTCAGAAAAGAGACCAATGCTGTTTTACAAATCTGGTTCCTTTTTTGGGATAAAGTTAATTCATGATTTATTTTTCAATAGGTTTTAAAAAGGATACGTGTTCCATTAACTCCTGATATTTTAAAGTCATCTAGAAGTTGAACAACCATTTCTTTATTTGGATCATTAGGGTCTGAATTTCGCACCTATAATGGGGAAGACAGTATTCAGTAAAAAGGAAAGCACTGAAATAAGCCAAATGGCTACCTGCAGCAAATATAATAAAAGATTAATTACTCCAAGAAACAGCAAATTTATGAGAAAAACATTAAAATTTTATTAGCTAAAATAGATAAAGAACTTAATTCACAAAAGGAAATGCATCAAAAAAAGACTATTATACTAAATCGACCATTTTTCTACTCAAAGCACAATTCCCAAATTAACTGCTGGTAACCAGGCTACGAGGAATTAAGCTTTGGCAGGATGCACATTAACCACAGCACTAACCACATGGTTTATTCAAGCTGATATTTTTGTTCAAAGATAAACTTTCTCAATGAAGGAAACAATACAGTAATTTACTTTTGGGCACAAACTCCTTATTCTGTCACAGACTGATACTTTGAAAAATACTTCCTGGTCTTACAAATGAAACATTTAAAGTTCAGAAGAAAGAAAATGAAGAGTTGGAGGATATATTGGGATAGAACTGATCCTAAAACCTAGGTTTTCTAACTCTGACTTTAAGCTCCTTCTACTACATTGGAATTTTCTAATAAAACTGAAAGTAAGTTTTTGTTAAATATACTTAAGTTTTCAAGTATAAAGGATTTAATACAATGTTTATTTTTATAACATCTAAAAACATAAAATAGGTATTTATTTATTAGCACAACTTTCCTTTTAACCATAGTAGGAAAGAAAAACATTCTTTGTGCTATCTGGCAAATAAAACATGTTCAATAAACATTTTTATTTGTAAGTTTTTTTCGATGTGTATGAGAGCATGCATATTCCATCAGTTCCCTACCACATGCACAGAATGTTGTGTCTCCTCTACTTCTTTAAAGATATTGAAACTTTATAGTAAATATTAGCCATGCTAAAGAATTTACACTTTGTATGTTTTAATTCAATAAAACTTTATTTAATGCTTTGCAGTTCACATAAAATACTCACTGATTTCAGCAACCGGATTTCATCTAGTGCTGTTTCAGTATAATGTTCAGCACTTTTAACTACTTTCATGGCTACAAACTTCTTTCCCCTAAGAAACAAACATAGACAGTTAGGACTAAATGTCCTCCCTTACTGTAGGAAGCTAAGATTTCGATATAATGGGAGGCAGTGACAAAAATACAAATATTGATTTCATGTTTCCTTGTACTCAAATACAGAGATCACTTGTACCCAACAATTAACTGGCCAGATTTAATTTATAGAAAGAAAATATGTTCTTGGGTAATGCCAGTAATTAAACATTTTTTCTAAGTTAAAATCTACCTTCTTAATGTCTCCCTGAAACCAAGGAAAACCATAAAAAGGGATAGATAAGGGGAGAAACCCCACCAAATTTGAAGTATCTTGTCTACCTGGCAAAAACTAAAAGGTTAAAAACTATAATACTTTCCTATAGGAAGCCAGAAGAAAAAATAGGGTGAAAACAAACTACAAAAAAAAAAAAAAAAAGTACATAGATAGCAATTACTGTTTTCATCAAAGATAGGTAGTACACTTTTAGGTAAACACCCCATGGTAATTGATTTTTATGTAGAGAATAGTTTTAGACTGTGTGAGACTGAGCAAGTCTGTTACCAAAAGAAAATATAAGAAAATCTCACATAGGTTCATCTAGAGCAGGGGTAAAGACCATCCAACCTGTGGGCCATCATTTGGTGTGGCCCAGCCAAAGCATTAGCGGTGAGTTAATGAAATGTCTAACAAAAATAGCAGGCTAACTTTTAAGCTGATAATTTTGTATGGCCCGAGAATGATGTTATAAATATCTAAATGGCTCTTGGCAGAAAAAAAGGGCATCGATTTTCAATCGGTATGCTACAAGAATTTTTAAAACATGCAATACTTAACTATTTAGTCAGGGGCACTGACCTTTTTCCTCTTAGACTATAACATTAAAAAATGGACAATTGCTGTCCAATGTAAATGATCTGTCTTGAAGCATAAGTATATAGGTCATATAACAGAGTTGCATCTTATTTGTCATGTCACATAATAAATAAGGTTGCACCTGACTGGTTACTTCTTGGTACCAGAAATTCTTATAAACAAGTATAGGTACCTGATTTTTATTTTTTTAATTTTTATTAACACATTTCATTTTATTATTTTGTTAATCCTCATCTGAAGATATTTTTCCATTAATTTTTTAGAGAGAGTGGAAAGGAGTGGGAGAGGAGAGAAAACATCCATGTGAGAGAGATCCATCAACCAGCTGCCTCCCACAAGTGCCCCAACCAGGGCTGGGGATCAAGCTTGCAACCAAGGTATGTGCCCTTAACTCAACCTTCCTAATGCCGTGACCCTTTAATACAGTTCCTCATGTTGTGGTGACCCCAAACCATAAAATTCTTTTCATTGCTACTTCAAAACTGTAATTTTGCTACTGTTATGAATCATAATGTAAATATCTGATATGCAGGATGTATTTTCATTGTTACAAACTGAACATAATAAAGCATAGTTATTCATCACAAAAACAATATGAAATTATATATGTGTTTTCTGATGGTCTTAGGCGACCCCTGTGAAAGGGTCGTTCAATCCCCAAAGGGGTCGCGACCCACAGGTTAAGAACCGCTGCCTTAACTGGACTTGAACCTGGGACCCTTCAGTCCATGAGCCGACACTCTATTCACTGAGCCAAACTGGCCAGGGCTAGGCACCTGATTTTTAAAAAGTTATTTTGGAACGAAAGGGTAGGTAATTACTACTATATTGTTTTGTAAATCAATTTAACTTTACTCTGGTGAGAAAACTACAAATTTACATACCTTACTTTTAGTAATAGTTGCAATGCTTTGAATTTGGGAGTTCTAAGTGCCTTTTGACACTAATTTAATTAATCTTTTGTCTTTAAAACTTTCTTCACCAGAGGAAAGTCATTTGCCCAAGAACACAAAGATTATCAACAACAAAATTCTGATCAAGAAATCAGTCAGAGCCCTAAGCAGTTTGGCTCACTGGATAGAGTGTCGGCCTGGGGACTGAAGGGTCCCAGGTTCGATTCCAGTTAAGGGCATGTACCTTAGTTGCAGGCACATCCCCAGTAGTAGGTATGCAGGAGGCAGCTGATTGATGCTTCTCTCTCATCAATGTTCCTAATTCTCTATCCCTCTCCCTTTCTCTCTGTAAAAAATCAATAAAATATAGTAAAAAAAAAAAGAAAGAAATCAGTCAGAGTTAAACTGAAGGTGGATCAGCTCTGGAAAATCAGAAACATTTAGCTATCACCTAACTAATTCTTTTGCAGGACCACAAAAACTTACTGAATATCCCATGATAACCACACTGTTGAAAAGTGTCCCCAGCCCAACTTTCGGATCACATGATATCTCCCATTGAATAGATCTCCGATTTTCACAAGATGGTAACCTCCTAGAAGAAATAACAGGAGGGAAACATTCACGTAAGTAGTAGGAAAAGGTATCTTATATCCCATTTTCAACGTCTCTATACCTTTTATTAAATAAAAATGGTTTCTTCTATGCTATGAATTCAACATTTGTAGTAGGAAAAGTTATTTAAGTAAAAAAAATTTTAAGTCAAGTCAGGCGTACAGTATCATTGAGCTCATGTTACAAAAAAAGATCTTAGAGAATAAAATTAATGATTTAGAAGGAGCAAGTGATGCTTTGTAGACCATTTGCTATTTAAAATAAGTCATCCTCAAACAAAAATAAGGTTATATATCACAATAGATTTATCTAAACATATAAATCTATTTATAGTTGCAGTCTCAGGATTTTTCTTTTCTTTTTTAAAGAGAGAGATCAATGGATTCCATTTATTTAACCTAAAAACACACAGGATTTGATTTTCTAAAACACAAGACAACAAAACTCAGGAAGGCCTGAAAAGGCTTCCAACAATGGCAAGAATCAAGTTATTTTAACATCTATCTTTGCCTGATGAAAATAAAAAGACCCAGGTTCTACTAGATGGTAAGATATATTTTGTTATAAGTTCCTACCAAAGAATACTGGAAAGTCTCATAAAGAAATAGAAAAGCTATCAGGCAATTTTAGGACATAGTTTAAGTACATATAATTCCAGTTTAACTTATCTTAGCAATCATTATGAGAAAAAGTAATAAAAAGGTGTTTTGCAAAAGTCTACATATAAAATCTCATCACTAGCCCTGACTGGTTTGGCGCAGTGGGTAGAGCTTTGGCCTGTGGACTCAGGGTCCCAGGTTCGATTCTGCTCAAGGGCATGTACCTTGGATGCGGGCACATCCTCAATAGGGAGTGTTCAGGAGGCAGCTGTACCTTGGTTGCCGGCACACCCCAGTAGGAGGTGTGCAGGAGGCAGCTGATCGATGTTTCTCTCTCATCGATGTTTCTAACTCTCTATCCCTCTCCCTTTCTCTCTGTAAAAAAAAAAAAAAATCAATAAAATATATTTAAAAAAACACATTATGCCCCTAACCGGTTTGGCTCAGTGGATAGAGCGTCGGCCTGAGGACTCAAGGGTCCCAGGTTTGATTCTGGTCAAGGGCATGTACCTTGGTTGCAGGCACATCCCCAGTAGGGGGTGTGTAGGAGGCAGCTGATCGATGTTTCTCTTTCATCAATGTTCCTAACTCTCTATCCCTCTCCCTTCCTCTCTGTAAAAAATCAATAAAATATATTAAAAAAAATAATAATAAAAAATAAAATTTCATCATTGGTTACTTCTGGGTGATAGCATTAAAGATGGCTTTTAGTTTCTTTTTGTTTAATATATGTCTGAAGTTTTCTAAGGTAAGTATGCACTATTATTTTTAAGGAGAATAAAAGGTAAAAACAGGTTTGATATAAAACTAATAAATTGAGTCAAACTAAGAGGAAATACTATTTCCTATATTTAAAGAAAGAAAAATGCACACCTGTAATACTTTCAATAAAGAGAAATTTTAAAAGATACGGTAAGCAAAAAAGCATCAAAACTTTACAATGATTGAGCAAACATTCAAATGAGAAACTGAATACACCTGGATCATGTCTTACTTATAGAAAGTCTTACCTTTACAATAATCATTGGGATCTTCCTGCTCATCATCATCAGAACCTAGAATCTCCTCTTCCTGTTCTGGTGGATCACTCTCAGAGTGGGGAGCAGAGCCTCGGTGCTGAGTTTCAGATCTAAGAAATAATGCAAACATGTTCAATCTAAATGGACAGAATAGGACTTTAAGGAAATATTAGCAAAATGTCCTCCTCCCACTTAACAGATAATATAAACAGAATATTATCTAATGGCAGCCTAGGAAAACATTAACTATCACTTTACCTCAGGTTAGGAACATACCACTTTTTAAAAAGTCAGTACAGATTAAATAAACCTAGAAAATATACAGAGTGGGGCAAGAGTAAGTTTACAGTGGTGAGAACGTGAAACACAAGAGTTTATTCTTGTATTATTATTTATAAACTAGTGGCCTGGTGCATGAAATTTGTGCATGGGGGAGGGGGTGTCCCTCAGCCCGGTCTGCACCCTCTCCAATCTGGGACCCCTTGGGAAATATCCGGCAGTCGGACATCCCTCTCGCAATCTGGGACTGCTGGCTCCTAACCACTCACTTGCCTGCCTGCCTGCTTGCCCCTAATCACTCTGCCTGCTGGCCTGCTCATCCCCAATTGCCTCCCCCCGCCGGCTTGCTCGTCCCCAACTGCCCCCCACTGCTGGCCTGCTTGCCCCCAACTGGTCCCCTCTGCCGGCCTGCTCACCCCCAACTGACGTCCCATTCTGGCCTGATCACCCACAACTGCCTCTACCTTGGCCCTGCCACCATGGCTATGTCCAGAAGAAGGTCCAGAAGGTATCCTGGAAGGTCTCCTAGTCTAATTAGCATATTACCCTTTTATTAGTATAGGGGGCCAGCTGGTTTGCCCTGAAAGGTGTCCTGGATCAGGGTGGGGGTTCCCTTGGGGGATGGGACAGCTGGGCGAGGGGCCTGTGGTGGTTTGCCGGCTGGCCACGCCCCATTAGGGTGGGGGTCTCCACTGGGGATGGTGCCGGCCGGGGGGAGGGGCTGGGGCAGTTTGCAGGCCAGCCACGCCCCCATGGGGTGAGGGTCCCCACTGTGGGGGTGTAGCCAGCCTGGGTGAGGGGCTGATGGCTGTTTGCAGGCTGGCCACGCCCCCAAACGGGGACCCTCACCCCATGGGGATGTGGCCAGTCTGGGTAAGGGGCTGAGGGCCATTTTCAGGCTGGCCAGGCACCCCAGCAGGGACACCCACCCTGAAGGGGCTGTGGCCAGCCTGGGTGAGGGGCTGATGGCTATTTGCAGGCTGAGGGCCATTTTCAGGCTGGCCACGCCCACCAGCAGGGACCCTCACCCCAATGGTGGCCTAGCCAGCCTGGGTGAGGGGCTGAGTGCCATTTGCAGGCCCCTCCCTCGGTGGCCAGCCCAGGCAACCCAAGCCTCCTGAGCGCTCATGCCTGCTCCGTGGCCACCACCCACAGACCCCTCCTTCGGTGGCCGGCCAGGCAGGCGGGAAGCTTGGCTTCCTCTGAGCCGGGGTGACTCTGGCTTGCTACAGCTGGCTCCATGGCCGCCGCCATCTTCGTCCTGCTAATTTGCATATTCACGCTTGATTGGCTGTGGGGCATCATGGAGGTATGGTCTATTTACATATTTGTCTATTATTAGTGTAGACTAGAGGCCCGGTGCACAAAAAATTGTGCACTGGCGGGGGGGGGGGGCGTGTCCCTCAGCCCCACTTGTGCCCTCTCACAGTCTGGGACTCCTTGGGAGATAATGACCTGCTGGCTTAGGCCCACTCCCGGGTGGCAGAGGGCAGGCCCAATCCCCAGGTGCAGCCCCTGGTTGGGCTCAGAGCAGGGCCGATTGGGGAGTTGGGGCGCAGCCCCCTGTCACACTCAAGGCAGGGTTGATGGGGAGTTTGCGGCGCCACCCTCGTCACGCACAGAGCAGGGCCGATCAGGGGGTTGGGGCGCCTTCCCCTGTCACGAACACAGCAGGGCGGATAGGGAGGTTGTGGCCCCGCCCCCTGTCACACACAGAGCCCCAGGGCGATCAGGGGGTTTGGGCGCTGCCCCGTCACGCTGCTCCAGGGGCCAGGAGGCCTCACGGCTCTGCTGATCCCAGTGCTGGGAGGCCTCACTGCTCCGCTGATCCTGGTGCTGGGAGGCCTCGTTGGTCCACTGATTCCGGTGCTGGGAGGCTCCACTGATCCCAGTGCCAGGAGGCCTCACGGCTCCGCTGATCCCGGTGCCAGGAGGTCTCGCAACTCCGCTGATCCCGGTGATGGGAGGCATATTACCCTTTTACTATATAGGGTCGAGGCCTGGTGCATGGGTGGGAGTCGGCTGGTTTGCCCTGAAGGGTGTTTTGGATCAGGGTGGGGGTCCCACTTGGGTGCCTGGCCAGCCTGGATAAGGGGATGATGGCTGTTTGCAGCTGGTCACACCCCCTTCAGGGTGGGGGTCCCCACTAGGATGCCTGGCCAGTCTGGGTGAGGGGCTGAGGGCCGTTTTCAGGCTGGCAGGTGACTGAAGCTCCCAACCTCTCCTTTTTTTCTTTTCTTTTTTGTTTTATTCTGGGATTTATTTACCTTCTATGGCTGTCACTGGAACTGAGAGCCGGCTTTAGCTCTGAGACCTCGGCTGCTGAAAGCAGGTATCTGGTTTGTTTGGCTTCTATAATTGAAACACTGTTGCAACTCCAGCTCGGCCGGCTGGCTGAAAGCATGGGGTTTGTTTAGCTTCTATAATTGCAACATTGTTTCTTAGAGTGCAAGCTCAGAGCCCAGCAGCGGCAGGCGGGGAACTTTGGCTTTCTCCTTCACTGGAGCTAGCAAGCCTCCTGTTTGCTTCAGCTGCCTGGCTGCCGGCCACCATCTTGGTTGGCAGTTAATTTGCATATCACCCTGATTAGCCAATGGGAAGTGTAGCAGAGGTATGGTTAATTACCATGTTTGTCTATTATTAGATAGGATTATTGTATTTTCCATACAAATTGTAAACCTACTTTTGCCACACTCAGTATATAAAAATGAAAAAAGAATCCAAAAATACGAAGATAGTGTAAGGAGCCTCTGGGACAGCTTCAAGCGTACCAACATCAGAATTATAGGGGTGCCAGAAGAAGTGAGAGACCAAGATATTGAAAACGTATTTGAAGAAATAATGACAGAAAACTTACCCTACCTGCTGAAAGAAATAGACTTACAACTCCAGGAAGCGCAGAGAACCCCAAACAAAAGAAACCCAAAGAGGAACCACACAAAGACACATCATAATTAAAATGCCAAGAGCAAAAGACAAAGAGAGAATCCCAAAAGCAGCAAGAGAAAGAAAGTCAGTTACCTACAAGGGAGTACCCATACGACTGTCAGCTGATTTCTCAACAGAAACTTTGCAGGCCAGAAGGGAGTGGCAAGAAATATTCAAAGTGATGAATACCAAGAACCTACAACCAAGATTACTTTATCCAGCAAAGCTATCATTCAGAATTGAAGGTCAGATAAAGAGCTTCACAGATAAGGAAAAGCTAAAGGTGTTCATCACCACCAAACCAGGATTATATGAAATGCTGAAAGGTATTCTTTAAGAAGAGGAAGAAGAAGAAAAAGGTAAAGATACAAATTATGAACAACAAATACACATCTATCAACAAGTGAATCTAAAAATCAAGTGAATAAATAATCTGATAAACAGAATGAACTGGTGATTATAATAGAATCAGGGGCATAGAAAGGGAGTGGACTATTTTCGGGGTGGGGGGAAGGGGTGTGGGGGATGTGGGAAGAGACTGGACAAAATTTGTGCACCTATGGATGAGGACAGTGGGTGGGGAGTGAGGGTGGAGGGTGGGGTGGGAACTGGGTGGAGGGGAAAAAAGAGGAACCAATGAAATAATCTGAATAATAAAGATTTAATTAAAAAAAATAAATAACTAAAAGATCATACAAAAATCATAAAGATATTTGACAAAATTGAAGATGTATTTGAGATTGAAACCCTTGATAAATAGGAATAAACTTAATAATTAAGTTGAGAGACTTACTACTCAACTCAATTAAAGGTATATATTAGTAACCCATTGAAACATTACACAAGCATTCCCACAAAAGACAGAAGATGTAACACAGTTTTATGGCTACTTTTCAAAGTTATACTGGCAGTCTTAGTAATTTAAGGGAAGAAAAAGAACCAGAACTGCTACCATTATAAAATGGTTATTCACCTAGAAAATCTGAGAAAAATAATCAAAAAAATCAGTAGCAACCAATACAAGGTTTTAGGTAATAAGAAGGTAACAAATTACCATACAAATTTAAAAAGCAACAGTTTTAACATTCCATCAATAACCAATAAAAAATGTAATGGATAAAAAGCAGTAAACTTATAAAAGCAATCACAGTAAAAATCTAAGACTATAAGAAACACACATGTCTGAAGGGTATAACAAACAAACAAACAAACAAACAAACAAACAAACAAGCTACTGAATATTCCCAGATGGGAAGAATCAAAACTAAACATGTCATTTTTCCAGAAAGTAACCTATACATTCATATAAATTCAAAGCAATCTCAACTGAAATCAACAAGATATTTTTGTAGAATTTTCCTTAGAAAAGAAAATTAGCAAAAATAGCCAAGAATTTTTCAAAATAGAGAAATGATTGGGAACTTGGGCTCCAGATAGCAAGATGGAATAAACAGCTATAATAATTAAAATGCTATAGTACTGGTACTGGATTAAAATGAAATCTAGCCATACACTTAATAAGGTAATTCAGTATTGGGTAAATATGGCATTTCACAACAAAACTAAAAACAACATGAACTGTTTACCATAATCACTGGGAAAACCAGCTATTTGTAAAAAGGGAAGATCAGAGTGAGATATGCTAAACAATGTGAGGAAGGGACCATGAACCAAGGAATGCAGAAAGCTGGTAAAGACCAGGAATCAATTCTCCCCTAGAGCCTCTAGAACAGTGGTTCTCAACCTTCCTAATGCCGCGACCCTTTAATACAGTTCCTCACGTTGTGGTGACCCCAAACATAAAATTCTTTTCGTTGCTACTTCATAACTGTAATTTTGCTACTGTTATGAATCGTAATGTAAGTATCTGATATGCAGGATGTATTTTCATTGTTACAAACTG